TTACTTTGGTAGATCATGAGCAGGTTATGTTTACCTCCTCTGTTTCCTGTTGCAACTTTCAGTACCATTAAGTTATTTGTTAAAGGTTACTTCCACGTACTTTGTTGCTTATTTCAGAGAGATAGCATTGCCTATAAAGGTCGGTGACGGTTTGTCTTCATGCAAAACATAGCTGTGGCTTTGACAGGATTAATAATCATGCATGGTTGCTCATCTTGCCAAGGAATGGTTGCATCCTGCTTTTATTTTTAGCTTTGCTATGTCATCCTGCTTTTACTTTTAGCTTTGCTACATCATCCTGCTTTTATTTTTAGCTTCGCCACGTCATCCTGCTTTTACTTTTAGCTTTGCTACGTCATCCTGCTTTTACTTTTAGCTTTGCCACGTCATCCTGCTTTTACTTTTAGCTTTGCCACATCATCCTGCTTTTACTTTTAGCTTTGCCACATCATCCTGCTTTTACTTTTAGCTTTGCTACGTCATCCTGCTTTTACTTTTAGCTTTGCTACGTCATCCTGCTTTTACTTGCATCCCGCTGGTGCAAAATTGCACTCCTCACTCTTGGGCCATGGGTGTGTTAGAAGAATGAGAGTCAAATACCACTATTTGATTAGCATAGCCCAAGAGTTGACAGTGAGTGTTGTTTAACTAGCTGCCTTCCCACTAGTCTATCAGTTCAAAATTAGAGACAGCTGTTGAAGATAGCTCTTGTTTACATTTTCACAAATATCCAAAACAACCAAAGATCATTTTTCAGATATCACCACAAAGCACTTACCGTAACCAGTAATGATATTAAGTATAAATTCTTGTTGTTTGTTTTTCTTTGGATTTATATAAGAAGCTTCAATAATACATTTTAGATCCACTCTTAAATAACATTGCCAAAATTTATAGGGATACAAGTTTCACGGGTCTGTATGCCCAATGATCATTTTGAGCGAAACAAATCTATTGACCTGGGGTTTGTGGACATCTAGACCCACAAAAGCTTTTGGAGCTGTAAACGTTTGAGCCATCTTGAACAACTTTCAGAATCAAATTTTAGTTAGACTTTGTAGAAAAAAAAAACTTTTAAACTTGTAGTGTTACTGGATGGATCAACCTGATAATCACAAGAGTCGAGTTAAATTTTTTAAATATTTATACTCAAGCCTTTTACGTATATGCCTAATTGATTTTTTAAAACCTCAGTTACACATAAAAAAAAACATGTCCCTTTCCTTGTACAAATGAAAATGGCTGGAAGTTTAGACCACAAATGATAGAACAGTGTTGCCAATGAAGCACCAAATGTGTTTATTTCACATTAAATTTAAATCATTACTTTACGATTATGCCTGGGTAAGGCCATCCTGACAGATTTTCATCTACAGAAGAAGTTTTAAAACTTTCGTGGGTCCTTTTCAGTCCAGCAGGACATGAAGTGTCGAAACTTGTATCCATATACATTTGGTATTTTGTAATAGTGAATCTTTATTTTGGATTACTTCACACGGTGTTTCGTATTTACGTACCGTACAGATCAGCTGATATGTTATACACGTTTATCACCATAAAGCTGTTTCGATATCTTTTCTACAATGCAAATTTCAAACCCATCCTTTCCCATATCGGAACTTCTGCACAGATCGACTGATACGTTATACACGTTTATCACAGGAAAACATTTTTATTTGTAGATATCTGTGAAGATCCTGATTTACGAGAAAGGATAATTCAACTGAAAAGTGAAATGGAGATTAAACGGGCAGCCCAACCTCAGAAACTTAGACGTTCCCACAGCCAGAATACAAGAAGGTATTGAGCTTTCTTTAAGCTACTGGTACCCTAACGTACAGTAAATATATATATATATATAAAATGTAATATTCAGTTCAAATTCATTGCCGATTTAACTGACTTCTCATGTGGACTTCTGCTAAAGCCAGTTTCTGATTAAAGAAAGTAACTACAATGCTCAAGACTTGGTAATAGTCATTCTTGAGTGTAGGACTATTTTGAATCTGGAAGTTTCAAGAACACAGCCAAAGTAAAATGAAGCGAAAAAAAAACAACAGGAAAATAATGTTTAAGTAATGATAAAGTTTGATTTCTGCATTTGTTTTTTTGTACATGAGAATTATTAACCTAGAAGGAAGGTTGCACTGTTGAGAAATGTGTAACTGAATAGTAGTAGTTCGTATAAATTACTTTGCGTGTGTCACCATCAAAAAAGATAATTTAATCTCGATAACTTCACTTTTTTTGCCAGCTACATTGAACAAAAGATAACACATCTAAAAACAAAAACAGCTTGTATTGTATGCTTTGTGTTTTCTATGTAGAGAGACTGCCTTATCAATGGTAGTATTTATTTTCTGTAAAGAACAAATTTGATATTAAGATAGATAAGGCTTAGTTCTAAGTTCCCGATTTCATTTCATAGAGTTGTGAAGTTAATTTATCAGACACTATGCGATCTGATTTATAATATTTTATAACGACGGAAGTTGACTGATTACTTTAAATTTCTAGTCAATCGGTAAGAAGAACTAGTATCCGAGAAAAGACGCAGATATCACGAAGAGAGGCTAGAGAAGAGGCAAGGTTGAGGCAGGAAAAACAGGAAGAAGCAAGAACGGAAGAGGTGAGACTTTATTAACCAAGGATTCCTCGAGTTGACGCAAAATCTTCATTTAAGTTAACAATGACGTATGGATAAGTTCAGATATCACTAGTTTATCATGATTCTTGTTCTGTACCATGAATATTTTAAGTTAACAATGACGTATGGATAAGTTCAGATATCACTAGTTTATCATGATTCTTGTTCTGTACCATGAATATTTTAAGTTAACAATGACGTATGGATATGTTCAGATATCACTAGTTTATCATGATTCTTGTTCTGTACCATGAATATTTTAAGTTAACAATGACGTATGGATATGTTCAGATATCACTAGTTTATCATGATTCTTGTTCTGTACCATGAATATTTTAAGTTAACAATGACGTATAG